CTTGATGAGTCGCGAGAGCAGGTGACCTTGTTACAACAACAACATCACCAGCGGACCGAAGCACTGAGACAACAACAGTCTCATTCCGCAGAGCCGACGCGTGAGCGCCGACGGGAGTCTCTAAAACTTGAGGTCTACAAGTATCGGGGAGTCGAGGAAGACTACCTGTTAAGGTGGTTCGTCGAGCTGGACGATGCCATCGATGCTCGTCGCATCGACGATGAGCGAATGCAAGTCTCATTCTCTCAGTCTAATCTGGCAGGAGAAGCTAGATCTTGGGCCCTGAACCTCAAATTGCACGACCCAAATGTGTTTGGGTCGTTAGACGTCTTCAAGACCCTGCTCAGTGAGACGTTCGAGCCGCTCAGAGCAGAGTTCAGAACACTATATGAACTCCTCGGAATCAAACAGGGTAAGCGTAAGGGTTACGCTTACGCTCAGCACGTACACTACCTTGCAAGCTGCATGGTTGTGAACCCTGTTAGTGAGTTTGTGTTGATCACAATCTTCATTCAAGGGCTTTCAGACGGTCCCGTTAGGGACCACCTGTTCCGTGGAGTACAAACCAAGACGACTGAACGTCGTCGCTGATGCGCTATCACGTCGTACCGATTTTGAGCCGACTACACACGTCAATAGTGAGACTTTGACCACTGTTGCGACACTGTCCATCAGTGTGCCGTCGTCGCCTTTACTCAACGACGTGCGGAAAGCATGCGCAGGAGACACGAATCTCCTCCGTCTGATGGGTCATCTTGCGAACCCATCCCGGAAATCCTTGTCGCATTTGTTGGCTCTATACCGTTCCTCTTTGTATCGGTACACGACTCGTAATGGCCAGCTGTACTATACAGCAGTTGCCGACGACACGCCTCGTGTCGTCGTTCCCAATCATGATGAATTGCGATTACACATCATGTTCGAATGTCACGATGCGCCGTCTGGCGGGCATCGTGGCCGAGAAAAGACTTACCTCACGGTCAGTCGTTACTTTTACTGGCCCCTCCAGTATCAGTTTGTCCGCAAGTACATACTTGCTTGCGAGGTCTGTCAACGGGTGAAGCCTAGTCCTTCATCCCATGCACCGTTACAACCTCTTCCATCCCGGCAGAGTGTTGGCAGTCCATTTCAATGGACTTTGTCTTCGGTTTTCCGAAGACACTAACAAGAATAATGGTATTCTTGTGTTTGTGGATCGGTTCAGCAAGATGGTGCATCTTGCTGCAGTGCCCGAGTCCATCACGGCACCCGGCTATGCTCGTGTCTTTCTTGACACGATCTTTCGACTCCACGGGTTGCCCCGTGAACTCGTATCCGACTGTGACCCTCGGTTCACGGCGGCGTTTTGGCAATCCGTGTTCCGCACATTGGGAACACGGTTGAAGATGTCAACCTCTGATCATCCCTTAACGGATGGTCAGACTGAACGGGCGAACCGTGTCCTCGAATAAATTCTTCGTGGATACGTCCACTCATTTCACATTGGAGTGAGTTCTTGCCGATGGTGGAATTCGCCATCAATAATTCGGTGCATGCTTCAACCCAGCACACACCGTTTTACGTGAATGTCTTACGCCATCCACGTGTGCCCGCCCTTTTAGAGTGTGACTCTTGGATAAGGGGGAGGGACTCGCTCGAGCAAAAACCGTTCTGGCTCTTGCTCATCCCGTGTCGAAGCTAACGTCGTCACGTATGATGCCGATGTAGACAATGTCGACATCGATGAAGAACACCACCTCAATAATAGCGACGACGCTATTATTGACTCGGATGATGATGACTATGCTGGTATATTCAGCATCGTCAACGACTATGCCAGCGAGGAAGAAGACAACCTCGCTGAAGAAGAGAACAATCTCTTAGCAGTGCGCACGAAGCGCACTGAAAGACAAAACAACGAGTCAGCAGAGAACTTCCTGCTGACGCGAGAGGCGGCAGTCCGTTTCGTTCAGGACTCCATCGCAAATGCGGTGGACTGCCAGAAACGGAACGCTGACAAGAATGGAAGAGCAAATGTTCTTTCATTTAAGATTAACGACCTAGTACTACTGTCTACGGTAAACCTACCTGGACATGCAGTCACTAGTGTCGGCAGTAGCAAACTACTGCCGAAATGCATTGGGCCATTTCGGATATTGCACCGCAAGGGCAATGCATACACGATCAAATTGCCACGTAATATGCGCACACATCCTACGTTTTACGTGGGGCGACTCAGGCCGTACTGTCAGCAAGAGACTTCTTCTTCCGATGAAGATAGCCCCCACGTTCAATAATATCCATCAAGTTTTTGCGTTGGCGCTCCTGACGATCCGTCTGGTCGCGCAGATAAGATACCTCGGAGCTCAACCGAGATATCTCCCCGCGAGCTGTCGCCAGCTCGCCGGAAAGGGAGCAGACATCCCGCTCGACCTGAAGCTGCGCTGTGGAATAATCGGCGCGATCCCTCGCCCGATCAGCCTCGTAATCCTTGCGGTTCTTCCGCACGGTATCAGTCCAAGCGTAGCGTCGGTCGCGCTCGTGCTTCAAGTCATCACGCAATTCATCGATTGCTCGATCCATCTCGTAAGGGTCGAGATGGTGAGCCGAATCATCTGGAGGAGATTTTTCCTCCTCCACCACATCCTTTGGTGGATGCTCACGGTGATCAACGCTTTCTAGTGGAGCGTATCTTGAATCACCGTGAAGATTTAGGATCAAGGACGAGCTACCTCGTCTAGTGGCGGGGGTATCCACCCTCTTGGAACAGCTGGGAGACCCGCTCTCAGCTGGTGATGGATGTTGAAGGTCTCGTCCGCAGTATGACGAGACTCATCCGATTGGTCCGAGGGCCCGTCGGTAAACACGCGCTTTTGGCGCTTGTAGACGGATTGCAAGTTTGCAATCGCGTCACGCATCTCCTCCGAGAGATGTGCCCTTCCCCAAGGCAAACTTAGGGAATACACGTCCCTATGTGCACGCTGCGAGTTGTCAGCACAACTCGCACAAGAGTCTTCCCAATTGAGGCATTGAATGCCGGCCTCACTTGACAAACAGTGCAACCGGTACCTAGCACCGGTTGGCGTTCGCCTTTTAAACTTGATGCGTACCGCTTCAAGTTTTTGGAGCCATCCTTCTCGTCCAAAATTCTTTACGTTTTGGACGAACTCGTTCCACGCTGCCAAAAGCGAGTCTTTGTCACGCTTTTGGTTGCCGTTATACCATCGATTTCTAAGAAAGACATCGAGATAAAAAAATCCTCTTCAGCGCGAAAGTTGCTCGCGCTGGAATCCAAGCCATGAAGCTCGGTCGCATCGAATAAAGGTATCCGATGGTGTTGGTTTGTCTCGTGAGACAAGCGATTGATAAGCCGTTCGGGCAGACGCCACGGCTTCGGCTCATCACGCTTCGAAATGGTACCTCTGTCGGTACCACGGCTCCCAGAATGACGACGGCTCGCGCCATCGTCATCACGCTCGTGCGAAGAAGCACGAGTCGGCGGTGGTAAGTAGTAATACTCCTCACCACTCTGATCAAATTCATCATCACTGCCGAACAGACTGTGTTGCAACTCACGAGTCCGTTCGTTCGGCATTGGCCTTGGCGAATACTGAGGCGTCGCCGGTGATCGAGACGCCTCTGCAGCATTGCCCGAGTCAGACACGTCTGACTCGCCAGAGTAGATGACCTCAATATCGTGGTCATCATGCGCACGCGGTGCTCTACCGCGTGCACATGCAGCACCTCTTGCTGCAGGCGAAGAACGAGCAGCAGACGACGAATCGCCTGCCGCAGAAGCTAGCACAGGCACAGACTCTGTGTGCCTTGAGTCACCCCGCATAGACATGTTAACTCTGCGAGGTCAGGTCAAGTTATGAACGGAACTGACCCAACAATTGCTCCCTGTCCCAATGGTGACCAATTAGTGGCCACCATATTTTCAATAAGTCACACAGTAACTATCAGTTAAGGGGGGGTGATGTAACGGGGCAGCCCGTTGCATGGAATTGTCACTAAAGAAAGAATGACAATAAAGTATATAAAGTTGAATATTCATTGAACAATATCACCGATAGTGGTGATATTGGTGAAGCGACCAAAGGGTCTGTTCATTGGTTGATATCTTGACGATATCAACCCACCAATCGCCGCAAGACGCGCGCAATGAGTGGTGACGAGAAGTCACCATACACTCAGTTATATTAACATAATTAAGTCAGGTTAAATAGAGAGACAGTAGCAAAAAGACTTAATTATATTAATATAATAGTTCTGCTTTTACCTTATCTACGCTTCCTCGTTTGCCTCGTGTACGCTTGTCGGGGTACGATACCATTGCGTTAAGTTCACGCAAGTGTGTGCGTCGTTACATGCAGTATAGCGTCTGTGCCGTGGAGGCCCCCACTCCCGTCACTATGTGGGTGTCACTCCATTAAAGCTGCGCTGCCGCACTTTCTAGGTCGCTGTTGTTAACGTCTTGCACAGCGATCGCCCGGCGGCCTCGTGCTTGCCTTCCTTCGCGCGTTGTATCGCCGCGGCCGCCTTGAATCCCGTTCGCCTTAGGTCTCCACTCCTCGCCCGTATGCAGCGGTACGAGCCGCGGCAGTGCCGGGTGGTCGTGATAACGAAAGTCCTTGTAGCTGACGTACGCTCGGGCTTGTCGTTCTCAGTCGTAGCGCGACTCGACCAGATGTCCTGGGTGTATGAGCGTGATATCCATCAAGTTGACGCCGTCTGCGCTGTCCGTTAGGCGCCACGAGTAGTGCATCGACGCGCCTGCGCCGATCGGCCGCAGGTGCATCGTCGTGTGCGGCCGGGGTAGGAGCCCGGGATTGTTGCACACCATCGCCTTGCCCAAATCTTACACAGCACGTCGCACCGCCGGGGTGCGGTACCGCCGCAGTTCCACTTGAACACGCCGTTCTTTATCCACGTGCAGATCGGGCGGAGGGAGTGAGCTGAGAAAGTCAGTGACAGTGTCACGCTCCGGTGGCACCTGCCGCATGACGACTTGACAGCCGTCACGCATGTCCTCCGCGAGCTCCCGCGATCGTCGTCGTCCTTGTCCCGCTGCGCTCTGGAGGCTGTACACCGTGTTGTCCACGAATTTTTCGAGACTCTCTGGGAGAAGAGCCGCTGCGACCGCGCCGAAATATGCACATCCGATCGAAAGAGTGCTCGTCGCTTCTTCTGCTGCCACTCGGCTTTGCACTCCGCGCCAGCATGTCGAGCCTTTAGCACAGAGATGACTTCTTGATCCTCCACACCATCCCAAGAGCGTAGTGCGCCCTCAATTCTGTCGGTCAGGCGCTTGAGGCACTGGTGGTAGCCGGTTATTGATCTCCGTCGCGCGTCCTGAGCCGCCGTCACGTACTTCTTCCGCAGCTCGTTCTTCGCGTTGTCCAACCACCCCGCATAAGCACGCGCTTTGTAAATCACTGTACCCACGACCGTGATTACGTTTACCAGGTGCGCCGACGTGCCTGCGAAAAAGTCCGTCGTCACTTCCTCGTAAGTTCGTGCAGCGTACCTCGGCGGCGGGTACACTTGCCGCCTCGTCTTCACTTGCACCGACCGACCAGGTACCGCGACACGTACCTCGACGCCGTTATGGTCATAGAACGGGCCCAGAATCAACGTGCCTACCGCTCGCACCCAGTCGCCGTGGTCGGAAGTGAAGTAATACCTATCCAGACGACAGCTCGCCTCTCGTTCCCCCAACATCTTGTAAAAGTACGTGAGGTGCTTTGCACGCCAGTCGGTCTCCTTGTCGTCGTCCAACACGTCACTCATAGCACCGCGTCGCAGCCGTTGACGAAGCGCGAGCGAGTCGTGCTTGTTCCACCGCGACTCAAACGACCGATCACGAGTCTCGAGAAGCGTGCAGTTGAAGTCACCACACAGGGACACTGGGCCACCAGCACTAGTCACCAGATCTTTCAGCGAGCTGAACTGTTTCTCCCGCTCCGATACTTGCACCGGCGCGTACCCGTTTATGATCGTGAACTCGCGGTCGTGGAGCAACGCAATCGCCGCGATACAGTTCGAGTTTCAGTTCGCCTCAAGAACCGCGCGTAGTGCAGTAAATCTACTGTACGGGAGTAAGATGATGGCTACGCCGCCGGTTTGTCCTTCGATTAGGCTCCAGAGCGAGAACTGTTGCTCACCATCGCCCACGAAGCCCCAAGACCGGGGATACCGCTCTTCAGCCACGGCTGTTGCATTCGAAGTCACCCGCGTCTCTTGCAGGCATGTGATGTGCAGCAGGCCGTTTTGTGTCCGCTGACGAAGTGCGCGAACCAGCGGCTCTGTCGTTCCAGTTTGGTCCCCAGCTCCATCAAGATCTGAGTGAGAAGCCAACACGACACGTCATTTGCCGACCCGCGACTGCCTCTTGTGCGCCGTCCTCGAACGCGCTGTGAGCGCGCTTGTGATGTCGCAGCGAAGCATTTCTTAACGACGTACGGCGCCGTCGTGCCCGATCTCACAGATGCCAAGCACTTCGACCAACGCCTCGTTCTGGAGCACAAAGTCAGCGAAACGCCTTATCTCGTCGTAGTCGTCGTAGACCCGAGCGCACGTGTAGGGGAGGACAAGACCACAGTCCTGCTGCTTCGGGAAGCGACTAGGGCAGATCAGACTTAGCAGGTAGAGCACCGCGCCGAGCTTGTCGTCGAGGCTTCGCTCCGTGATCCCCGTGAGCAGGTTGTTGTCATAATCCTCCACCTTGCGCCACCACGCTGTCGCGTTCGTCTGGTTCCAGCGGTTGGTGCCGAGGGGTCGAGATGAAATCTCCGTTGCCGCTTCCAGCACAGCGTGCGCAGCGGCCCTGCCAGGATCTTGTCAGTGGCGTGGGCTCGATCCGCGCAAGCTGATCGTTGCTACACAGTGTTTGACCGAATGTTGTCCACATCGTTTTACTCCACGTGTGCAGCTCGACGAGAGGGCCCAAAATGGACGTGATAGCGCTCTCCAGGCTGTCGAAGTGGTGCTCAATCCAGCCCGGGAAGTGCTCGCCATCAGTCGGCCGGGCTGGTGCCTTCGATGTCTGGCTCTACCACATCGCGACCGCGATGACGTTCTACGTCTTGCGGCGGTTGAGCTCGTCAATATCGTCTTTCGCCAGCCGCGCGTGAACAGCCTTCGGCTGCAGCAGCTCAGTGACGTTGATCTCCGACCTGGTCGTCTCTTGGTCCGGGCGTACTGATTGCTTCTGGGTCGTCGAGCGGTATCTGGCCCAGCGCGTCGCAGCAAGAGTAACTGCGTAGTCGTCGACCCTTCGTTTAGCCGCCGCTACCGCGTTTCACTCGCAGACTACATCGCTCGACATGTTGGGTGTCTGCAGGATGCTCGGCATCTGATTGGCTGTTGGTCTGATTGGTCGTGCGCGTGACTGCGCATATGCGTCTTGCGCCGCAAAAACTGCCGACAATCGTGGAGGAAGAGGGGACACGAGGGCGTCCGTGTTGTCGCTCACGTCCAAGTCTGCTCCGTCGCTCGAGGCCCGCCCTCTCGCTGTCGATCGGGCGAAAAGAAGAGGGCGATCTGGACGACTCAAGCTCATCGACTGCCATCGTGGTTGAGAGCGACTCCCTTGCCTTGTTTGCAGCCTTGGCTACGGCCTCGTTGGCCGCGTCCACCGCCTTCGCCGCAGCGGTTGCCTCTGCCGCCTTCTGAGCAAGTGATACCTCTGTTGCCGTCGCATGTGCAGCAGCCAACTCGACATCATGCTGCTGATTTACAGACGTTGATGGTGGCGCTGTCGTCGGCTGACCCGCTGCTGCCACTGTCGTCACCGCAGCCGCCGCGCCCTTAGCCACCTGATCTGCCACATCTTGAGTTGCAGACGTCTTGGCCGCTACCATCTTATTTGCCGCCTCCGTTGTCTTTGAGGGACGTATTATGTTCAGCTCAGCCGTCACAGGTGCCTTGGCTTCCACTCGCGCATCGAATTCGCGCTTGAAAACTCCGCTTTTGCGCCGTGCAGCTGCCTCCTGCCTCACTGCATCTCGGTGCAGTTTGTACTCGAGCCTAGGCGCCACCTTCTTGCGAAAGATATCGGCTGCCTTAGTCCAGTCCTCCGTATCAGAGCGTAGTGTCACACGGACCGTCGCCGGAGCCGTCACTGTTAGCGAGAAGTTCGCTGAAGTCTTCTCTGGGTCGGCAGTTGCGCAGTCCTTCCGGAAGTGACATACACAGAGGCAGCGCTGGCACGGTGCGCGATTGCTCTTCCGCGGGTGCAGCATCGAAGCCTCTATCGCCGTATCCTCTCGTGATGCGAAGCATGTGCTTCCGATAGAGCTCTTTGGGGCCCTTCATGGAGTCAAAAGTGACTACCCATCGATGCGTGCCGAAGCAGTTTGCACCGGTAATTTCGCGCAACTCGATCGCGAGCACATCCGTCGACGTCGCGGCTGCGATCCGGGCTCGGATCTCCACCGGGAGGAATGCGCTCTAGCCTAGCACGTGCACCTGGTAGAGCATCGAGACTGTGTTGTCTGTGTAGCCGTTCTTTTCCCCCACCGTGCTTCGGTCATGTGAAACGAGTATCTGGAGTTGGAAGCAGCCCACTAGGAGGTCAGCCGTCGCCCATGCGTCTCTGGCGGCACGATATTCGAGCACGAAAGCCACGATCGGCGAGAGACTCGAGCCCTTGACGCGCGACAGTGCCAGGAAGAGCGCCTTCACTCTCTCCTTCGCCTCCGTTGTGCCTGCTGCTGTGAACATCAGGCTGTACAGTTTTGCGCGCGCACCGAACTCAGGGAAATTGATCCCGATTGGCAGTCGCGTGGACAGCTTGTGAATGAGACGAGTGCGCTGGTGGACCGCAAAACTCTCCGGATTCGCTGCTGCGTGAGTTTCCTTGAGGAAGCTAGACGCCCCGCCAATCTGGAGTTGCCCATAAGCCATGGGTCCAGAGCCTCAGCCTCGATCGCCGTCATCGGTTGCTGGAAGCTGTCCTTCCGAAGACGTCACTGTTGTTGCGCGCATTCCTTCAGTCGGCTGGTGTCTTCGTCTATAACTGTAGGGGCCTGAGCACCCTTCTCCTACTTAATGCGCGCTGATCGGGTTTCCCTTCAACGCGTTCGTACGCTGATTATTCTTTCGCGCGTTCTTCAAGCTGCCATGCGTTGGGATATAATAAGGTGGGACCACAGAATCTTCGCCTGCTGCCGTTTGCACGGGAGCCTCGTCTTGAAGGGCGCCTGTGGAATGTCGTTAGGAGCTTGCGCCATCTCAGCGTCCTCCTTCGGAGCATGTCCGGTGCCGGCCTGGTCGCCATCGGATCCGACGTGCCATCCCCTGCAGTTGGAGAGTCACGAGAGGAGGTTGCAGTCGCCACCGCGCCTTCCAGCACGCTGCCTCGTCCTCCTGTCCCGATTCGTGCGCTCTCGTCACCTAGCGCCCTGCCTCCTTTTCCGTGTGAACGGCGATCATTCTCGCCTCAATTGCGTGCTTCTGCCATGCAGGAAACTCCGACTTGATTGGTCGAAGCCCTTTCGCCCTCTCAGTTGTCATTCAATTACGTTCTCGAATCTGAACTTCTAATCTTCGGCCGGAAAATTCGAGAGTGCTGTCAGTTAGATTGAGTCGTCAAGGCGTGTAATTAAAGTTAGAAATGGTACGCAAGTCGACGATATAATGATCTACAAATATTGATAATAGTGTCAATAAGGTATTCTTTAATTATTTAAATCTACGAAAGCGGGCACAAATCGTGCATGTAGTAGAAGGCGACTAGAAGCTTCACTGAACAGAATACGTGAACTACATTGAATGTAATACGGTCCCAAATTCACAAAGAGGCGCTATTAGTGGTTGGAGCTTAAAAATATGCAGTTGCAGATTCGGCTCAATTATCTAGCATGTGACGGGAAACGCCCCGATGTCTAATGTTGAAGGCATACGTCTACGAAGCGGAAGAATGAATTTTCAATTGACATCGGAGAATTTATTTGACTAATAGCTCTTTCGTAATATTGTACCGCCGCCGAAGAAGAGATCAGCGTTTTGACACGTGTATATGTAGAAATAGGCGCAATATATAGGAAATCTAGCTACAATGATATTGCTATGATCGCATTCATTTCTGGACTCTGAAAGACAAGCTAGTCATTTGATAACGGCGCATTAGACAGGGATGTTCACGTTAATGTCGAAGTGGCCGCATTGCATGATACGCTACTATTAACAATGTGATTTCTTTGGTATTAAGAGGCAGTTCTGACAAACCTTCACGTCCTCTGCCGGTCGTGCCCGAAAAGAGTGGGCATTCTGCAATTGCGACTCTAAAACGACCACGCCATTTCTACGGCAAATTATTGTCATCACCAGTACAAGGCTTTTGCAAGGTCACTCAAGTCTGATCGATTTGCGTAGTTACCGACCGCGGCTGAGATCACAGACGTGGTATGCACGGATCAGAGAAAACCATAGATTCTTGGATGTCGGTATGTCACAAAGTACGCGTATTCCAGCAACACAAATTCAATCATCTAGTCAGAATCTATAACAGCTTCCTCGAATTATTTTTAACAGGAGACATCTTCTAAAATTGTTTGTTTGCGTTCCGTGCCACTTTTATGTACGGGTGTGCAGAATGGTAGTGACCGCGTCGTGATCGCAAAGAATGTCTACAGAATCTTTACGAAGTTTAAAGCCAGTCAAGACTTTGAATAAACTCCTAAAATTGACTTAAATGGCTGAAATGTAATTGGGTGCCT